AATAAAAAGTATCGTGGGTACATATTAGCATGTAGTACCTGCTAAGATATGTAAATTATGAATGGTGATACCTTAGATTCACGGCATCCGTCAGACGTTGCAAAAGCTGACAGTTGTTCAAGTTTGTCGCGTTAATATTCATGTGAAATTATCAGGTCGAGGCTATCGTATAAATTTTTCAAGACATGCGTCCTTCAATTTGATGCGCAACGTATGATTTTATATTGTGAACTGCTATGAAGTAGCTGATCATTCCGGCATCGCATGTTTTTTCTATTTCGTCTCGACCATTTTATGTGCATAAAGGAAAGTACCGATAATTGAATGCGCCAATTTCCGTGTAAAGTGATCTGCGCGGTATATATATAGTTTAGCTGGTGACTTCCAAGTCAACATATTCCTTCTTTACTTGCTCTAGAAATGGATTATGATTATGGATGCTGATGCTCTTTGGCTGCAGTACAATGTGCTTTTCTTCAGCGAGATTCTGCGTTTCTGTATGCACTAGACCGTGGACCAGTGTTACGTATGTGGATTTGGTAAGCGACAGAGTAACATGCTACTGTCAGCAAACTAAAGAGTAGAGCTTAAGTCGTTATTTCATCAATTTTACAAATCTAGTGACGACTTGCGTAGGTCCTGTCAAGCGTTGACCGCGTTATCAATAAGATCGCTATGTCTTTTTTACGACTACTTATACGCTATTACTGGATCCAAATGTCCGCCATAGGCTTTATAATTTCGAAGATAATTGCGAGATTATAAAGGCTAATTGAAATAAGACTAGCAATAACCGACAACGCGGAGTTGGGGGCATCTATTAAGCACGACGTGACTTTACAGCCAACATTGTAACTATCTATATAGATTGTAAGTAATAGAGTGAAGCGAGACATGGATTTTAGACAAAACCATTGTTGACGTGAAGATGGCGAATCACTGTGCACAAAGTTGGCAATAAGTACAATGACACTACAAATTTTGCATAAAGCATGTATGGTTCGACCGCGATTTCTTTAGCAAATCGTGAAATAATAGCTTACATGTTGATGCTTGTACGACAGTATCATACTAAAGATATACGACTAAACCTAGGGTACTCGTTAACACGATTTTGGCAACAATATAATAGCCACTCATTTTGATCGATACAGATGTCGTTTGGATACCTAATATTCGTAAACCAAGTGTTAAAACATTACCTTTTCAATTATAGTCAATGGTTGTATAATCGGCCGTACTTATCTTCGCAGTTGGCGAAAACTACAAATTGACAAAATTAGGCCTTAATATGATACGATGACCCAACCATTGATTGCAGAGTGTGTAAGGAGTAACGAGCAATGTGTCACTAGCATGAATGTGAAAACATGTAAAATAAGTAACTTTTGAAGGATATTGGATAAAATGGATGAACTAACGTAACTACATATATATTTTTACTTCTCAACCTACTGACCTCATTGAGTCAGATACGTATCATCCACACTCTTAGATGTATTAGGGTAAGCGTAAATCTTCATGCTGCCACCAATTTCAAAATGTGATCGACTGAAATATAGATGAGTTTATCCTAGCAGGCGGAACATTCATGATTTCCAGGAGAATGGGTACTCATATGGAGGCAGCCACTTTTTTAACATTATGACCACACCGCTTATCTCTGGTGTTCATTACCGGACAAAACGGTACCATAAAAGTGCGTATACCATCGTCCAATGTGTTAATTATTGTATTGAAACCATCAGGATTTTATTGTTGAAAAAATATTACGGAACTTGGCTATGCAAGATTATAACGTAACTTGGTGGAGCACAATTCATTCTCGAAGACTCATACGACATTCGGGTGTAACTGAACAATAGTTATAATCTGACAAACTGCTATATCATATTGGGCCAGTGATGGATAATAAGGATGATCATGTGATTTACGGTCGGTTATGATACATAAAACACCGCGATCTGCAAAATGAAGAACGCATTCAAATCTAAATACTGGTCGTGCTAGGGTCACTTAGTGTAAAACTGACTACACCAAAGATGATGAGATAAATGCACGTCAAATGTTTTGGAAACAATGACATTTTGAAGAAGATGGCAATCGAAGATTCATGTAGAATCCCGATTACGATAAACGCGATCTCAATCAATCTGACATCGTCAGCTTGTGCGTCAATCAACGCAGATGCGAACAACAAAAGGTAGTTGGATAATACAATATTTGCTGTACACAATAAGATGGTTTTCATCTATCCGCTCTTTGTCCGGTAGATTATCGACCGTGACCAGATACAGGTGCGGATGGTCTTGGACACCATATTACGACGGAAGAATTGCGCTGATACTCAACACGTGAATACCATCCTACTATACAGATAGACCTTTTAAGGCTTCTATATTGATTCGATTGACTTATATTGTATCTGAATTCTATAGGACACACGTCGATCTCTCTCAAGGAAGATATCTATAGATCTTATAAATCCAAGAGAATCGATCGAACATTCAGGGTCGGCTTTGCAGGTGGCGTGCCATTACATTTAAAGCCAACCCTACATCACATCGCTCTCTGTAATATCGGTATTTAATATCTTTCAGGTACCACCATGCTCTGCCCTAATGAGTGTAATATCTTGGAGTCGACACCCCATCAATTTTGTTACTGTACATTTCAGCTTAATATTGGGATCCTTAAGTACGCCATTATGTATCACTGTTTATCTCGCCTCTTAAATGGGTTGCTGTTTCTCTTTATTGTGCAATTGACGATGACTGCGATGTAGGCTAATGGACACAGACTTCTCGTGTTTTCCATATCGTCTGGGTGATCATCCTTCGCTGTCTTTGGATGCTTCGTAACATTATTTGATATACTGATGATGTGGCGAACCTTATTGGTGTTAAAGCTTAGGTCCACGCTGTTGTAAATATTATGTACTATGAAGTGTTCCTAAGACTTGGTAACCCGCAGCTATCGCATTCCAATTTTACACAACACCAATTACAAACTTTATCATCGGCTCTACACCAACGACAACTTAGGCACTTGAGTCTACCTAGTGTCGATGCTTTGCCTGACTGGCCCAGCATCGTGGCTTTTGTAGGACCCCCCTCGTTATTTTTCGAATCATACCAATGTCCTTATCGTTGGGATCATATCACGGACTCAGCTGATATATATTATAATACCGTCGACTTACCAATGGGGATATCTAGTATGGTCTGCAATAGAAATGGCTGTTACGGCTTACGCCTTCACCTGTTCCCTTGCGAACACTATGCTCTGCTACATTTTCACCCTTTTATATGTTGCCTTCGGGCTTCTGCATATAGATCTTTTGTCTTAGCATTTTCGTCTTTGGCCTTTTCATCGTGGATTTTGACCTCCTTCGTCTCAGATGTGACATTCTTTGGCATAATTGATCTGCTATCCGCGCCTGTTTGCGGTCACTTTGTATACCTATTCGAGTCAATTGATGCAAAATCAATTTGGAGGTATCAGGATAATAATCATCGTTCTTTACCCCTAATGCACCCGACTAAAACCGTTACAGTACTACTACCGACCACCTTTCTCGAAAGGTGTTCAGTGCGAGCTTTCATTTTGACTTGGGTCACGGACACACTTTTTTCGTACCAGGTTCAAGTAACGACTACCACACGACCGACCGGACGTGTCTACTGCAAGCAGGTTTAGTGGTCATAATTTTGATGCGTGTTGGTATTGACCCGCGCCATTGTTCTTAAGCCGTGGCGATTGACCACTAAACCAAAAAGATACGGTTTGTTATAATACCAAGTAGTATATCGTATATTGTCTAATTATTAGAGTTTGTATCCCTATCCTTCGTTCTGCCTTCACTCGTGTTTTCATTACTCGCTTGCGAGTATACGTGATTGCGATTCACTCACTTACGTAATACGGGTTCTTTACTCGATAACTTTGATCACTCACTCGTTTACTATGGCCACTCACTCTTTTACCTTCGGGGTTACTATTAAATTTCCACACTATTTGACTTACCATGTCTTCTTCGATCGGCGTACGGTATTGAGGCTGATTGTTAGCTTGTTTGATAACAGTGCAGTGAAACTTATATTCGATCGCTAACGCACTCATTACTTCTGACTTTTGTAACTGGTACACAACAGGGTACACGTGCCCATTCACTACGGTTGTTCCACTCGAGTGTGCAACCTGTACAGTATGTGTGCATTTATGTCCTCCACTGTAGATAAAAATAGTGCGTTTATCTCTGCAGCGTCTAGACCGCAGTTTATATGTCAATACCGACATCACTGCGACCATCAACAGCCTCTTCTTTGTGATGACTACAATGTCCATCAGTGTTGCGTGTTGATAGCGTGCACCTCATCTAACATATCTTCAAGCATTTACCTGCAGTAGCGCCAACGTAATTACATCAGCTCTTTACAACCTTGTTGATCAACGTTTCTTGTCTGTCCGACATCTCATGCAGCCTCGGGTCGTACCTTAGGCCTAACATGACCAAAGGTGCTTCTGGTAGCGATGACAATCTCGTACTGCCATACTATGTAAGCTAAAACCATTCCAAGCAGGACGGTTCAGGTAGGACAAGAAGCATGTTACACCGTGTGTGCGGTATACAGTTTAGAGATGACGTATGAGGGAGGGAACTAGATCATGGTAGTGTGTGTGGCTCGCAAAAGCAAAAGCTACACAAGTGTAGTATGCGCACCTACACAGGGTGCAGTGTATACGTAGACGCGTTCTTGCTTTGTTTCGTTACTTGCCAAGTGCACACGAAGTTGACGACAGACGCTTTTGTCTCTCTGACGACAGAATGTGCGACAAGCAACACACAGAGTGAGAGGCAAAAGAGGAGGATCGGCGGGCGGTCCCTACCTTACGCAAACAAAGGTTCGAAGGCGATGCATGTTAACAGAATAGAGCGCGCCCATCTACACAGCAACAGACGCGGGTCTCTCTTGCATCCAGCGGGCTCCTCGCTCGCTCTACTTCTTCTCAATGATCCTGACCTTTGCTTTGTGAGTCTTACTAGGCCGGCCAATGACGATCTTATTGCGCTTGTGCAGACTGTCAAAGCGATCCAGCAGGGGATGGCCCTTAGGCTTCAGAGTCCGAAAGGTGCCCGTGAGCTCCTCAGAGAATGAGACCGGCTTCGTGCGGTCGAGTTTGCTGCATGTCATGGATCGACAACGAGAACAAAGCCGTCAATCACAAAGCCCTTCGAGCATCACCTGTGACTCATCACATACACACACACAAGTACTACTTACATATACTTTCCGCCCACACGCACTAGCGGCTCGCCTTGCAGCTTTTGCTCTCGCTGGAGCTTCTTCAACTCCTGCTTTTTCGACGCTTCCTTCTCGCTCTTGACAATATCTTGCAAAATATGGCGAGAGCTACAACAACACCGACAAATGGACACACGTTCAGCACCCTCGTTGTCACAATCACCTCGCCACAGACGCTCCACGTACGCATTGATCTGCTTCACGATCGCTTTCTCGCTACGTCGCACTTGGTGACCCCGCTCCATCAGCTTGTGCCGTGTCTGCTTATTGCGCTGCGCACGTGTCACCTTCTTGGGCACTTTGCGCGCCTTTTCCGAAAAACGACAAAACAACGGCCAAAACGCAAGTCAGATTCCTCGCCATTCCACACGAGCGCATGGCCGTCTCATTACGCACCTTCTTCATCGGGTCGTCTTCGTCATCCGAGTCGCTGGCAGCTTCCGAGTCCGACGACTCCTCTTTGATGTGTTGCAACGTCTCCTTTGACATGCCCTTCGACACGGGCTCACGCAGCAGCGCCGTCTTTTCGCGCCGTTCCAGCTCTTCTGCCACTGCTTCCGCCATCACATCCTGATGCGTGTCAAAATCTGGATGGTACGACTGGCCAGCGGCCGCGACTTCGACCGTCGGCACCTTGTACTTGGTCGAAGCCACGGGCTTGCGTTGCTTGAGCTTCTTCACGATAATCGGCGCTACGTACTCGTCCAGCTGCTGCACCTGTTCATCTTCCTTGATCCTGCCGTCTTGACACCAAATCTCCGTCGCTGGCTCTTGCTTTCTCTTCCTCTTTTTCTTGTCCGTCAGTTGCTGCTGCTGCTGCATCGACTCTGTTGGCTGCTGCATCTGCTGCTGGTGTTGCTGTAGCTTCTTGACAGCCAGGACCTCTCCTTTGTTGAGCTTAGCAACATCAAACTTGCGCGAACTCGCTAGCAACGGGTCTTTCTGCAGCTTCAGCAGCTTCTGCTTCTTGGCCAGACGAGTGGGTACGTCGCCGCCCTTGCTGTCGAGCTGGAAGAGCTGCGTCGACCCGACGTGCTGGAGCTTCTTGTCTTCGGCGTCCTGTCGGATGCTCTCTTCCACTTGCGCGCCCACGGCCGCAACGCGCTGCTGTCGACGGCGCTTCGTGCTGTTGCCCATGCTGCGACGGGTGTGAACGAGCTGCTCGCTTGCTCGCTTGGCAGCCAGTCAGTCGTCAGGACTCGTCGAGTCGGTCCGTAGTAGTGTGTACCACATCGTGGAAGAGCGGGGTACGTGGGTCTGCCCGTGCCACACCACCGACACACAAACGTTCGTCGCTCGTTAGACGAAAAACTTGCAGTTGCGGCAGCCGTTTTGCGTTCGCTCTCTCGCATTCGCTGTCATTTGGGGGTTACTGTTCTCGTACTAACTATATAGATACGTAGAAACACAACGCCCAGCAGTATATCGCGCGCGCGAGCGCGGCATACCGGTATATGCCATGGTCTCGAGCCCGACGTACGCGCGTGCCAAGACGCTGGACGAGAGCCGCGACGATCTAGCGCTCGTGCGCCATGGCAGCGGCAAGTTCTCGACGCCCGTGCAGACCGCTCGGCGCAGCTTCACGACGGAGGACCTGCCGTCGGTCAAGTCGTTCGTGTCCATGTCGGACGCGATGGCCGAGACGAAGCAACGGTCGGGGTCGGATATCTTTGAGAGCAGTCGATTGGCTATAATGAAAGGGATCCAAGGGGTCGGGCTCGACCGGGTCGTGGACAAGATGCAGAAGGCGTTTACACCCGACGACTCGGAGCGGGTGCTGCGTGCCGAGTGGCTCGTGGTCGAGACGGAGGAGCATCAGCTGCAGCAGCTCCAGGAGGTCGTGCACAAGCTCCAGAAGGCCTTCAAGTTCAGCAATGGACTGCGGACGCTCGTGAAATTGGCCAATCGCACGCTCGTCAAGTGCGACGAGCTCGTGGACCGCAGTCAAGTGCACTTGGAGCAGTGCAACCTCATGTTTGCGCAGTTTGCCAACGAGATTGCGACGCTCACGGACTATCTGAGCAAGTTAAGAGAAGCGGTGATCCCGTCGCTGCAGACAAAGGATATCAGTGAGGAGAAGAAGCACGCGAGACGAGCTGAGTGGGCGCTTGCCCGCATGACACAGAGCGCGCAGTCCATGGTGGCCGAGATGCAGGAGAGTCTGGACGAGCTGGACGAGCTCACGACGTCGTGCACTGAGCTCATGGTGCAAAGCATTACGCTGCTGCACATGAGAGGACGGTCAGCTGACTTCAGTGGCACGGGCGTTGCTGCCGGTGCGGCCAGTGTAGTGGCAGGAGCTGTCGTGAGCGTCGCTGGAGTGGTTGCTGCTCCAGCGACGAGTGGACTGAGTGTGCCGATATCTCTTGCCGGCAAGAGTTTGTTCCTGTCAGGACTTGCGGCATTGACACCGTCTGGTATCATGCTCAACCGTACGTACTGAGAGGGCAAATGTGGTGCGTCGAGTATGTGCAGACGCTGACATGGATATGTCTGCTCATTCGTAGGTCAAAGTCAACAACTTAGTGGACTCTCGTCACTCGTGGTGAACCTCAAGTCGTGTCTCGAAATCATGAATCTGAAGCGAGAAGAAATGTCTGTGGCTTTTGCAGCGGTCGAAGGTATTCACCTCGACATTAAGCAAGCGACGGCGTTCTGCCAAGACGCCGTCGAGCTCGAGATCTCCATTTACGTAAGTCGTGGCTCGCATTGCATCTGTGTCTGCAACCGATGCGTCAAAAGGCACCAATCGTTTGTGTGTTCCATGTCGTCTGTACCCGCAGGAGAGCTCTTGGATCTTTATCGAGGACATAAGCGTCAAACTGTCGACGCTCAGCCAGTCGGTGGAGCTATTCCAGGCGTCGCCCAGCGTCTGGCACTTTTGCAAGTCGGAAGACGCCATGTACCAGTACCTGCTTGCCGAAGAGGAAGAAGACTGAGCTAATTCGCTGCAACGTTGCTTCACCCGCGGGGAATGGCGAATAGTGTTCGTCACATCTCTCGTTGCCTCAACCCAAGTACAGTCGAGGCTTGTGTATGTATGTGCTTTCTAGTCCATCCTTGTACTTGTATAATGTACTGTGTACACTGAGAAGAGACACGCTGTATTTGCATTCGGTTTTGTTCTTCGCTTGCGCTGACCGAAACCGGTATCAACGTCGGTACAAATTACCGGTTGTCCTGACACGCGAGTCGGTAGTCCCTCTCCAGTCAGTCCACTGCCAGGAAGTAGCTCATGGACCTGTACGCCGACTTGCCGCTGGCCAAAGGCGTCAAAGCGCCTTCTGCGCTCGACGCTGACGGCAAACCCAAGACGTCGTTGTCGTCGACTACTTCCGGTACGTTTTCTGCATCGGTTGTGCGGCAAACGCCGGTCAACTAGTCAATCGATCGTGTGCCGTCTTTTTATCATTGCGTAATTTACACGATGTACTATGATTATTATAATTTTCATACCTTTTGATCGTGTTTTTTATGATTGCGTGTGTTGTTATTGTCATCCTCTCTTACAATTTACAATCTTGTGTTTTGCACTACTGTATTTCTCTATGTCTCTTTTTACTGCCTCGTCTGGCTGTGCAGTATGGGCCAGTGCGCCGTTGATGGTCCCCCAAGCAGCCAAGAACAAGAGCGGCAATCGATCAGCAGCTGCGGGAATAGCCAGTGTAGGCCCTTTTCTTGCATTTGTAGCCACTTGGGTATCAAGATCCAGCAGCTAGAGGACTCATGACGCTTTTTCTCCTCGTGCGCGGGTAGAGCTCGTTGATGGTGCCCAGTGCCTTGACGGCGAGTAGAGGCAAAAGTCCGGTGGTACCGGCTGCTTCGCTTGGTTTTAAGCCTGCATCAGTGGCTAGAAAAGCACCGGCAGGTGTTCCAGTGGTCTATAAGCAGGAGCATGACGAGACGGTGAGGACTACTGCAAGCGCAGGGTTGGGGTACGTCGCAGCGACGGAAGTGAAGGTGACGTCGATCGATCGTCGACAAGACACGACGCGGACGCAAGACGGGGATGTGGCGAGTATCGATATGGCTGGCAGCCACTTTTTCCAGCAGACGTATCGAGACGAGTACCAACCAGCACGACCAAACAGCTACGAGATGTACTGCAAGGAACGACAAGAGAAGAAGAAGCTTGAACAGGTGAAGCGCGAGCTGAGTCGTCGACAGCGAGAACAGGAGCGAGAGGTACGGTACAGAGAGGCTGCTAGCATGCACTCGATGTACACTGATGACCGACGCGATTGGTGGTGACTTTTGTGTTTGCTGCAGGGCAAGTTGGAGCGAGAGAAGCTCGCAGAGGATCTTGCGGCAGGGCGAGCACCTGCCATGAAGCTGCTCGCACCTGCTGGACGAGGACGAGGCATGACGATGCCAGCGTGGATGCGCAAGAAAATGTTCGCCATTGAGTGTGCTATGTGAAAGAATCCAGTGCGTTGTACTGACTGCTGTGATACTGCAGTGAAGATCATGCGGCGTCGCAGCCAGAGAGCGAGCGTGACGTAGACCGAGAACAGTCTTTTGAGATTACAGAGGCTAAGAAGGGCTTTACCGAAGGGCAGTTCGACGATGCTGCGGAGTCTCGAGACAGTCCGGGCTTTCCTACCAAGGGCTCTAGCTTCTCCTCATCTTCTGGATCAGCGTCATTGTCTGTATCGGGTGGGCGCATGGGAGTGACCACAGCCGAGCCAAGTGATCGAGCGCGCGAGAGCAGTCTGCGCGGTGGCAGTCGTGACAAAAGGGATCGTCGTTCTTTGGAACGGGGTCAGCCACATGCGCCGGTGATGGACGAATTTGGAAGAGAGGTTCGGCACGATGCTAAGCGAAAGAGAGCGGACCGGCCGGTCGACAAACACCGTGAGCACAGCACGAGCTCAAGAAGCTGCAGTGGTCGAGAGAAAGTGCGACACCGAGAAAGCGAAAGCCATTTACCGCGTGAGAAGCGCCATCGAACAAGTGAATGGAGCAGCAGGTCCCCGCAGAAAACTGTATTGACAAGCCAAGTGGTGTTGTTGAAGGTAAGGAAGAGGGAACGGCGATTGTTGGTACAGCTAGACGAGAGCTTTTCTTGATCATTGTTTTGCTGCCAGAATATGGTAGGACCAGGCGAGGTGGACGACGAGCTGGAAGACGAAGTAAAGGGTGAATGCTCGGAGAAGTATGGCCCCGTGAAAAAGTGTGTGGTGTACGAAATGGCTGGGAAGGTTGTGCCCGAAGAAGCTGTCCGGATTTTCGTTCAGTTTACGAATTCAGAAGACGCCACGAAAGGTGAGGTGATGCCAAAAAGATATTTGCGCACTGCGAGAGCTACCAGCCCTAGAGTATGTCTGAGTGACGAACCCATTTACAGCGTTGACAGGCTTACATGGTCGATTCTTCGGAGGCCGCCAAGTCAAAGCAGCGTACTACGACGAGAGCAAGTTCGACCGAATGGATCTCACAAGCCAGTAGAGAGAGTGAGGCGTCTAGCACGCCCCGGTCCTGTGTGAATGGAATCTGGAAACGTGTAGGGTATGTGCTCACCAAAGAAAGCGATACCTGCGACTTGGTCCGTGAAGAAAGCAGCATGGCTTGTCGTCGAGGGGATGGAAGCAATGTCGAGATGGATGCAGCTGTTTGCAGGATCTAGCGCAGCGGTGCGATCACGCGCCCTTTTCTAACGGCAAGTCGTTGAGACAGCGAGAACAAGACGAGAATGGACACATACGCGCATACCACCGCGACCGAAAGTAAGTGCATAATATCACTTCAATCACGTTGTCGAACTCCCTGTTGACAGTAGTGGCGATGATTTGTGACGCCTGTTTTTCCACGATGAAGCTCGACCAAGCAGCTGAAGCTCGACCAAGCAGCTGAAGCTCTCAGGTTCCTAAAGCTCGTGTCGTTCCGGACTTGTACCTCCATCGGTTGCGGCATGCACGCTTTCGCGCAGCTTGCTCGTAGCACCTCCATGTGCTTTCACCGTTTGTAAATGCTGATACATCACTCGAAGGACCTCCATGCACAGTCTTTTGTTCTTGTCGAGATGATGCTAAATGCGTTGATTGTCGAGCCAATGTGAAACGAGCTAGAAGCGCTTATGCCTCAGGTTCGTGGATGCTTGTGCTCATCGTTTACCGCTAGCAGCATCGCTTGCTGTTGCTCACATCTCGTCGACTGATAGCGTGGAATGGAGTGAAGCAGCTGATGCAAACTCTTTGCTTCTCATCGTTCATAGAGACTGATTGGCACCAGCGATTGAATGCCATCATCAGTTTCGCCCTTGATGAAGCTCTTCGTCGTCCTGCTGAGGGCAAACTCATTCTGTCTGTCGCTGGACGTCGCTCGATAGACCACACACGTGATCTACTGACATCGCTAGGGTGGTACATGTTGTCGCTCATTGCCTGATGAAGGGCAAACGTACAGTCAGCATGAGGCGTACAATCGCATCGTGTACAACAAAACCGCTGCAGCTCTCACCAGTAGTTATCTTTCAGTCTCTTTACTCTTTGAAGAGCGTCATTCCCGCCAGGGTTTGCTGCTGCTACTCCCTTGGAATAACCCGTGCAAACTACTGGTTGCAGTAGAGCAACACATTGGTATAAACGCGCAGTGAAGTGCGGCGTCGACCAACAATGTCCTGTGAGCTGTACCGAAAACGATGCTACCTCGATGGGGTCTCGTGCGGCCACTGTATCGTCACATCATGCCACGCTACAGCTTCCGATCGGCGCTTCTTAGTGTTTGACCAGTCAAACGGACAGCCAAAGTATGAGCGCGACGACGCAAAAAGGAACACGATGCACAGAGTGCAGAACGAGAGTACACCACGGACTGTCAAGGCGTGTAGAACAACGACGGAAAAAGTGTCTCGTGTTGTGATAACGTCCGAGGTGCTATTCTCGCATCGTCATATACGCACGGGCGCTGTACTGACGAGCGAAGCAAAGATCGCTCGGACTTTAGTGTACACTGATGATGAACAGCACTCGATCAAACGTCTACAGTCACTGACACTGTTTGCACTTTGTGCTGCACAAAACACTCGTCCAGAGCAGTATATCTTTTCACCCCTATCGAGTTCGAGCGAGCGATCGAGAAGATCAGCCACCGGCGTAGTACAACCGCTTTCGGCAAGCAGACGACACTCGGGTTGTCGAGCGCTTGGACAGTAATCCCCGTACGTGATGTCGGGAACTCGTCAATCATTCTCGATCGAAACGAAGCTTCTGACAGCGCCGTCGCAACTCAACGTCTGACACAGCGCGTCCATAGCGCGCGTGGATTGCCCCGAATCTTCTCTCCATCGGGTCTGGTAGACCAGCGTGACACAGTGCCAAACCGCCTCTTGCACCTATAGCCGGTCAACAATCTATCGGTCGTCCTCACACAATGTCTCGTTCGACAAACTCTTCTGGAGCGTTCCAACGCAGAGGGATCTGCTGCGTTGTCGACGTCCCGTGGATCAATTCAGGGGGGAGCCGGTTCTTGCGTCAGCGCCTCTTTGATCCCTTCAGTCGCACTTTGCACTCCCATCGTAGTGCGAGAATCTTGTCGCGTGCTGGAAAAGCGAATCTTGAATCCATCTGCTGAGCAGTATTTCGATCCACCGACTAAGAGGCGCTCGCCAGACGCAATCACTGACTCATCGTGCAACGGCTACCACACGTTGGCAGTCAGCACAGTTTGTAGCCAAACAAGAGGCAGCACTATGGGACCATCTGACCAGCCATACCATTGCATACTTTTGCTTTCAATCGTTGCAATTGACGCTCTTTCGTTCGAAACGTCCGAGTTCGTGTACAAATGTTCTTCGCCCGAAACTTTGTTGAGCGAGAGGATCCTCCATCTGAGCTTCACGACGCATGATGACGACTCTGTCGTTTGCCAATGGCATTGTATCGCCCCACCACTGTGTTGGTACTTGCAATTTGATACAGGAATCAATTGCGTACCCGAGGGAGCGTCTAAGTTCGCTCGATACGACAACTGCCATTTAGGCCGTGCGTCAGCTTTAATACATGATAGACCGCACGTGAGCGCAATGACACACGTACCGGGTGCAATCTGGACGTGGTAGTGTTCCCACGCGCCCTTGACACATGGCAGCAGCAACAGTCACTTGTGATACTTCGACTGTCAATCTTTTAGCCACAGTAGAGAGCGCACACAGCAATACCCCTGTACAAGCTTACGGCTATCATGCACACGGCGGCCTTCAGTATGCGGATCGGTGCATGACGACACACGCACTGGTCGTGTAGAAGGAACCGAAACCAGTCGCGTAAAGCCCTTGCACAGGTACATCCAAACTTGCACGTCGACGATCGGGCGTGACCTCCACTTTCCGCTGCATCAGAATGCAACTTCTCTTCACCGTCCGCTCGAGTGCTGCAGTCGGAGCAACTGTACTGCACGTCATTGTCGCTACAGTCCATTTCCCAATGTCTATCGCTTTTCACGCACGTGCACTTGGCGCCAATACCCCACACGTCACACCATAACGACACAGGCGCTCGTGTGATCGCTGGCGTCGCAACTCAGGAAACCGTTCCAGCGGTACGAAAGCCGCCTGACCACAGAAGAGCTCAACAGTCGGCAGTTGCCGAGATCGGAGACCGTCCGCTCCGAGGGGACCGACCCATCAGCACCTCGCAATAGTGTGGGACGACGTGACTGCTGCCGCGTCCTTTCGAGGCGTTTCAACGTGATCAACAAGTTGTTCGTTTTTTTAAATCAGGAGCTGCGCGTATGAAGCGGAATCCGAAAGAGCTAATGCCAATGGCCTCCTCGACGTTGTCACCCGATTGGAATTAGCTCACACAGCTCGCGATCGATGCAGATCCGTTGACAGTCGAGTCAACAAAGTGTCCCATTTCCATGTACATTCGCCCAAACATTCGTGCATGCGAAATGATCGGCTATCACTCGAGCAGTTCTCCAACAAATGCCCACTGTGCCACCGCAACAACAAATGAGCTCTCGAACTGCTCACCACGTGCAAGTGGACCCGACCAGGAGGTGGCAATCACGTGCGCTACTTTTCGGGGTAATTCGCCACAAGCGCAACGGAGATAATAGCAAACGATGCGTACAGCGTCAGCAGTGTGTAGCACAGTCGCGGGCGGTACCGAAAGCCGTCGCAGGATACCACCACAATGTTCAGCAAGAGACTCAAGAGGAGATATCCAAAGCCCAGACACGCAAGTGGTGATGGCGTCGCAATGGAGAGAGGACCGCGCGAAACGATGGCGATGGTCAGTGACAGCCCGATACCGACCAGGAGATTGAACATGGGTCCGGCAAAGCAGCCGGCAAACGCCATCGTAGGAAACCCATCGCGTGCAATCGCCATGTTTGACACGAGGTCGCCGATAGAGTTTCCCCACGCCAGAACCTGACAAGTACCAACACACACAAACCAGTCAGTCACGCTGCCATACTTCGAGCCAGAGAATGATTCATTCGTTCACACGCAAAGACGTACCGACACGCCCAAGACTGAGCTCGAGATGCCAAAGAGATCGCCCAGCGTCTCCAAGACAGCCAGCACTTCATTCGCAATGTTCATGATCCAAATGACAGACATGACAAACGCCACACAAATAAAAGGTGCCAGCAACTTGCCTTCCGGGGGCGAGAGTGGTGACGTGGTGTACTCGACAAGGCCGCTGAGGACCCCACCAACGACAACGGCCGACACGAAAAACACCGGGTCGTCAATGCAGAACGAGAACACGGACACTCCAAACAGCAGCACCGCAAAAGGCGGACAAATGACGACCAAGTGCTTGTCCCACGTGTCTTCGTCCACGAGCGGAATCGTCAGTCGACGCACAAACACAGTAAACACTGCAAACGGGTTCCATATGACCCGCTCGAGGGCCCAGTAGATGCATCCTACCGCTCGACAAGCCATCTTCCAGCACTGCTTTGCTTTGACCTTAGCGAGATTGGTACACGAGGTAGCCATGAAAGCCTCCAGAGCAAGCTGCTCCATTTCAGCCGCTTCCAAGTCCAGCTCCTTCTGTTTCATGTCCTCGTCGTTCATGCCGGCAGTCTCGTTCATATCGGCATCCAGCTCTTCTGCTTCAACAGAAGAATCGAATTCGTCAGTGTTACTCAATGAACGATACCCGCGCGTCCATCGGCGTGCTGCTGCTCCATAATATGCACTCGACTCGAGTGACTCCCATGCTGTTTTACGTCGGCGTCGCTGACGCCTCATTCGACGCAGCGACTCTTGCATGGACGCCACGCACATGGTCGAAGGACGCTTCAGATGCACGTCCGTGACTTCCAGCAGCGACTGACCCTCGTTTGGTGCAAGCGCATCCGTAATGTGAGGCGTCGACCGCGGCGTGACCACAGAGCTCTTGCGGTACATCAAGCGGTCAAGAAACCGCGGGGACGGCTCCGACTGATCGGAATCCGAGAATATCCGTGAGCGCACAAAGGTGTCGTAGATGGGCGTCGTCTGACTCTTCATGAACGGGCGACGCTTTTGCTGCTCCATCGACGCGGGCTCTTCAACATGAACCGGGAGGAGGGCCAATGGAGTGCTCTCTGCGCTCTTGACACTCACAATCGACGGCGACCAACACTCGACATCGTCCCCGTCGTTGTGCAGTGCAGCGTACATTGACGCTTCCGTGTGGACTTTGGCCGGGAAGAAGTAGGCCGCCAAGTGCTTGTCTGCAAACACCACGACGACGTAGACAAAGTAGAGCGCGAGGAAGCCCAAGGCCTCGAGCAGCTCGACTTGGCCGTCAAAGAACACGAGTCCCAAGTACAGCACTGCGACAAAGTAGAACACCACGTCGCGTAAGAACGTGCGGGGGATCAACTGCTCCTGACCGTCCGACACGAGTCCCACACAGGCCGTGATCACTACAACATATACCCAAAACACCACATCAACACACACATGAGTCCCCCCCTCATCATAACAACAACAACAACCGCTACGCAACAGCCATAGCTCCCCACGAGCCCACGCAATGTCCTGCCATCATCTCCCGCACCTGTAGTCACCAAGAGCCCCCCGCCCAGCACAGCTGTAATGCCAATCGACGGCGTCGGCGTCGCGAACGCAGCAATGTTGGAAAACACGTCGGGTGAGCCATTGCCAAAGCTCAGGAACGTCACGCCGGCCACGTGCGGTGGGATGTGGTACTTCTCGACGATCGCTTGCAGCACAGGACAGAAAAACTCGTCGGCCGTCGAGCTCAAGAGGTACAGCAGCAGCACGAGGCAGAGCACGAGCACCGCTTTCGCGAGCGCAGGTGAGCTCTGCAGCAGCGGCGTGCAGTGCACCAAATGGTTGTAGTCGATAAACGTCGTACTGCTACTCGTGGAGGACGAAGCGCCAGTGCAGTCAAACGTCGTGGACGACTGAGTGCTGATGCGGACAGGAGCCGCGACAGCCGCTGCGAGTGCCACTGCACCCGCTGCGAGGAGGAGCGCGCGTGACAAGTGGGGCATAGAGGGCGCGAATACGGTAATGACCGTTGGCCCGAGAGCTCCTCGAACGCGATGATCCGACTATCGGGTTACGAGACGGGGGCGGACGTCATCAGACGGGACAGAGACGGAGCAGTTGGGACACTGCTGCCAACGTGAACCGCCGGCGTCGGGGCTATACGCAGCGTCAGAAAGGCCTGTCCTGGCGCGACACATGTCGCACGGTGCCACTCTACGACTCACCGATCCCACTGTACCTGTTTGCGAGTCGTTTCGATATTCGCTGCCGTTATGTGTGTTCGTCGTTGCGACTGTGTGTCTGTGTGTACGTGTGCGCGTGCACTGTCGTCGAGAAAAAAACTATTCCTAGCGTCAGGTCGAAAAAGCACTTGCGTTTGTGTGCGGTGTGGGTTGTTGCTACTTACTGCCAGTCGTAGATGCTCGCAGGGATGATGTAGTCGGAGAACGGCGGCTCTGTTTTGGGGTCACAGCCTGTCTCGTGGTGATATGTTGCTGCGCAGAGGGAATGCGCCAGATATCAGACTTGCATCCATCTGGTACGCTAGCTGGAGGACACCTGGCGCATACATCCATCCCGCTCTGCAGCAGCGGCTATGCACCACCCGAGAAAATGAAACCGCTTTGTCTAGAAAGCAAAGACGAGCGCATTTCTGTGGCGCTGCGTGTGGGCCACACACACAAAGTATGACACGCGCGCGTCACCTTTGGCCTCGGAGTGCCACTTTGCGCTTCGCGAAGCGTCGCTTGGGCGACAGAAAAGTGCGCCACCCCCACCATACGACAACCACTCGTAGTGGCTGTTACGACACGACGACAGCAACAACACACAACAGCAATAACAACAACAACAACAGCGACAAGTTCGGTACGACACAAGTGAATCCACGAGCGACAGGACAAGACCATCACTCTCTCCTTCGTTCTCTCCCTCACGATCGCTTAGTCGATCGCGTGCATTCCCACTCTTCTTTACGACCACCGCAAATGGCTACATCGAGTCCCCCTGACCCTAGCGCCGCAAGCCCAGGAGCTACGTTCGATCGCTCCTTTTCCTTTGCCTGCGGCGGGTGGCTCAAGATGTACCTCTTTGGCGTCGCCAAAGCGCTGCAGGAGTTTGAGCTCGAGAAGACCGCGCGACTCATTGGCTGCTCGGCCGGCGCGTTGACCGCCACGGGCCTCGCGCTCCACTGCGACTTTGACGCCATCTGCGCGCACGTGCTGCAGAGCGTCGTGCCGCGGGCCCACGCGTCGGTCGCGGGCTACTTCCGCGTGCGCTCGTACCTACGCGAGACGCTGCAGCGCCACGGCCAGTTGCAGGACTTTGCGCAGCTGAACGCGTCGCAGCAGGTCACGGTCGTCTACACGTCGCTGTCGTCGCTGACGTCGCGGCGCACGACCACGTTCGAGTCGGCGGAGCACCTGCAGGAGACGCTGTTGGCCTCGTGCTGTGCGCCGCTCATCGCGGGTCTGCCGTTCAAGCTCAATGGCGAGTGGGCGCTGGACGGCGGCCTCCTCGACTTCCAGCCCGTGCTGGACGACCAGACGGTCACGATCAGTCCGTTCTACTGCGTGGGGGCGGACATTAAGCCGTCCGTGTACGTGCCCATGTGGTGGGCGTTGTTTCCCCCGGGCGAGCGCGACATCAAGTGGCTCTTTGACTTGGGATACGAAGACGGACTGAGCTGGATCGTCAAACAGGGCCTCACGGGAACCCGCGCGGACGTTGTGCGGCCAGCCAAGAGGACAGGGGGACCAGGTGGATGGAACACGACAGTGGGTCGCGTCGTGGGCTACCGCGGCTGCGAGAGCCACGTGCTCGACGCTCTCTTCATTGGACTCTTTGTTTGTTTGTGGCGGCCGATGGCGTTCCTCTGCCTGTACCTGGAGCTGTATCTACAAGCGATCGTTTCTGGCAGCAAAGCCGTAGTCTTTGGAGCGGCGGCGAAGCTCTTGATCTCGAACATCTTGATGGCGGCCATGGCTGCAGCGTTGGCAACGCGCGGCCTGCAAGATACGATGCAGTTTTTGCTCGGTATGGTCGCCGCTGGGTTCTTTCTGGGCGGCATGGTGTTGCTTGTCGGCGGGTTGCAACAAGCAAGTGCAATGGCGTCGGCGGACTGGCAGCGCTGCCGCTCGTACATGCGCAGCATCACGAGTCTGTCGCTGTTTCTGCACAGCCTGCCAGTCTTTGGCACCAAAGTGCTGATCAAGCGCCACGACTTTTTGCTGGAACACTCGCTCGTGTACCGCGTTGCAATGCACTTTGTGTAGAGATGTGGATCACGTGTGCGTGTGTGTGTGAGTGTGCGTCGGATGGAAAGTGCCATCACGGCAGTATCTGAATGGTGCGCGCACACACAATACGGTGGATGTCGACAGACCGACCGACTGACTCACTGACGGACGGATGGATGGAGGATACAACAAGCACGAAGGCTCATCGCTGGGACGTTGTCGTCGTGCATAACACCAGACGACGACGGAACGTCCTGCGCACTGCGCGACGAGTAGTCTATATTTAGCTGAATACGTATCCTGTTTGTTCCTCTACCACGCGTTTCGTTCACGTTTTGCACTGTGCGTTCGTGGACAGCTACGAGGATCGTCCGTTTCGATGGGCTGTCTCGCAGAGCCGGCAGCGACGATGATGACGATGATGATGACCGCCACGACGTTGCGTCCAAAGCATTCGGTTCGCCAACCGCTGGTCCTAATCACGCGTCCCCGTCAACGGCAACACTGCTCTGACGTCATTGGTCCGAAACTCGTGACCCGAATGTCGACGAAGAGCTCCTCAACGTTTTACCCTGCGACGTGTGACTCGATGGCTGCCAGATGTGTAGCCTTTCTGCAGATCACATTGTTTCCTACCACGTCATCTCTCTTGTTCACATTGCATTCTGTGGTCGTCTACTGATTGCACGGAGGAAGTCATTGCGCAAGAACGTGCTATGGACGCGCTCGATCGTGGCGTCTCCCCTCAAGTCGTATCTGCTTGGCCTCGTCAAGGCCTGGCCCAGGTATGACAGAGCGTAGCTGAGCGTAGCTGAGCCAGAGAAAGGAGAGGAAGACCAGTCGCATGGCTACCGTGTCGACGCATTAGTACCCATGCAGCCAGAGCTGCGATAGCATCGCGAGACACCATTTGCGAGCCAAAGCGGAAGGAAAGTGTCTTCGAGGCACGTGAGGTACCGGTCGATAACTTTGCTGCGCAGGCTTTTTTGTTCAGCTGCACTGGAAGCAGCAGGAGGTACAACCAGACGGGATGCAGACACCTCGGCACATCCCAGCGGCTCGCACTGATCCTTTCGACGCGACTGGTCCTGCCTTTCTGTCATCTGTTGACGCGTGTAGCATCTGACTGACAGCCAGACAGCGTCGTCCAGCGCCGAATCCGCAGCTTGTAACTCGGGTTTCATCTGCAAGTGATGGACAGCAATATCTTTGCCTTCGACAACATCGCACGACCACAGATCGATGTTTGTTGCACTGGCACACACAGTGTTCGGTGCGAGACGAGTGGAAGTCGACAACGGGTCGTGTGGTCAAGCAACAAGTTGCTGCAAACGGCACGTAAGAGTTCCAGTATAAGTGATGTCACACCTGTTTCGCTATGATTCTTCCCGAGTGGTACCTCGTTGCTAATGACAGTCTCCGAGACGTTGTCGTGACTGCCTCGTATGGCGGCAAAGATGCCCACTTACGTGCCACTTGTATACGTGCAATAGCACAGGATCGCAAGTCTGACGTTGCATACCTGCGCGCCTGTGGCGGTCTCTTGATCTTTTCGACAACAATCGTCGCAAACACTTTACACAGACGCACATGTGCGTCGTACTACATGCAGTTGGCCCGTGACTTTCAGTCTTGCACAAACCCACGCAGCACGTCATCTGCTCAGACGCCTACTTCGGACCCAACGCAGCTTTCCAGCTCCCTCTGTGCATGTGTTGGCTCTCTCAGCCTCTTGCTATCGCCAACTAAAGCTTGCGAGGTACGTGGACCATTCCACCTGACACAGTAGAGCTCCAAGCAACGGCGTCCGTTTTCACTGGACACTGCTGCTGCTGCTGCTACAGCTCCTGTGCACTGGTCAAACACACACAACACACAGTCGGCACGCAACGCCCGCTCATGCATCAAACAAATAATTTATAGATTAATCTGCGGCTTGAAACGCAGCAGGCAGCTGAGCCCGACGCTTTCGCCTACTCTCGTCGTTGATCACCCGCCATCGCAGTACCAAGTGGCTACCCACGACTTCGTAATTTCGCGTGCGTAAGTAGCCCGTGTCACCTCACGGGCTCTTGGCGCCATAGTATCGGAGTGTTCAGGTGCTTTGCGCCTACTGCGTCGTCATACGTCAAGTCGCTGCTGGACCGAGGGCTCATGTTCATCTTGCGCAGTATCAGGTCCGTCACCCGCAGCAGCCTGAGCTCCAGACGGTACATGATCATGAGCATCCGTAGGGCTTTGGCTTCGTCGTCAAAGGCCGAGATCACGGTCGTGTCCCTCCAATTGCGCCGATGCCACGTGTTGAGCGCTCGCATCCACTTGTACTGAACCTCCGGTGTCGACGCGCCCAGAATGATCCGCGTGCGTCGAAAGTGCTTAATCGAGCGGTCCGTGTCGTGCACCGAGCGCACGGGGCTCAGCTCGACGCAGAAGCGGTTGGGCGTGAGGCTGTGGTCCACGGGTTGCACCACTACGCGATGTCTCGTGAGGAAGAACTGACCCATCCAGCGTCCCTCCTTCTTGTCATAGAACTGCAGCAAACCGCCTTTGAGCTCAAAGTACAGCGGGTCCTACGAAAGCAAAGGCGCACGAAAGACGAGTCAATGGTCAGTGTTCGAGCCCAAGGGCACAACGACAAAAGAGCGAGGGCGAGCTGCCTGCCGTACGTACGTACCGCCTGTCGCCCCGCGTCGTGTAGCAGCAGATACCCTTCGTAGTCCGCCATGGCAACTCGAACGCTCGTGATCGCTCTTGTCGGTCAGAATGTAAAGTGTGACGCTCAGGAGAGCGATCGAAAAGCAAGCGGCACGTTACGTGCTGCAGCTCGGGCCACTCGCCTGTCCCAAGTCGGTCCGAGTCTGGTCAGTGATGGAGACGCGGCCGATTTCTGGTCGTCTACCGGAGGGCAATCGGGCGCGACGTTGGCGGTCTAAACTTGACAGCAGTCGCCACGTTATAGACACGATCGGCTTTGCTCTGTCGTTTTTGACCGCAGAGGCAGAGGCCGTCACGAGAGCGTGTGGAGACGGGCGAGCGCTTTCGATGTCAAGGCCGCCCGAGCCAACGGAGAGAGAGAGAGAGATGGGGTCTAGAGACTGGACGGGATCAGGTCCCGCCGATCTTGCCGGACGCGACCAGAGGAGACGCATCCGTCCAGCAGAAAGTACAGTCCACGCGACCCGTTTTCACTTCATGTGTGACACGCCGCAGCAGCAGCATGTATACGTGGTATACATGCACGCACAGGCGCCTGTCTGCCGAGCGACCGTTGCATCGAAGAGGTGGCGCGTTGGCTCACGAGTGTTTGTTTCTCTGCTTGTGTGGTTCATTGCTTGGGTCGAGAGAGTTTGTTCGTTACGTGCGACTCGTTCCCGAGTTGAAAAAGAAAAAGAAGAAGAAGAAGAAGACGGAACGCGGTGAAGTTCAGCAGCTCGTACACTCGTTCGTGCGAGAAATGACAGGTGGCGTGCGCTCTCGAGTCCAACTGATCGCTCCTGCGCTCTCTCTGCTGCTGTCTACGCAATGGATTGCCACTGTAACTGGGCCTGACGTCAAGTGCAGGTAGCTCTGGCAGTTCACGGAGTGCGTGCAAGCACACTGTTGTTGCTTTGTGGTCAACTGTTTGGACGGAAATGATGCGCGAGCTGCGCGGTAAACGACGCACAACGCGGCAACGGCACGTCGACAGACACGCGCGATACAGCGACTGTCAATCGTAGCAACTGGAGCTTCTGCAACTGCTCGGGCACGAGCGAACGCAGCTACCAAGAGGTCCTTCGAGACGGACTGCGTCAAAATGCAGCGCATCAGACGCTACTGTCGAGTTCCACACGACAACAGCGTCAAGCGCGGCGTCTGATCGCATCAATCCACGATCGCCGCTTGTCGTACTCTCTCGCTTACGCGTCGGTGTCGTGGTCGCTGTTGTTTGACCGACCACGGGGTTGTCCATCGGCACGCGCTTTTCGTCGCAAAGTCGCCATCAAAGCGAGAAAAAGAGCTCTTGTGTCCATTCGAGCGCGTGCCAATCGAAACTCGTGTGAACACTCCATTGCCAGTCGCACCGCTCGTGCCAGTCGGAAGTTTCGTGCCAGCTGAGCAAAAGTGCCAACCAGTCGGAACCCTCGCGTAGAGGTGCAAGTCGAAAGGTGGCATCATCATCATCATCGTCACCATCATCATCATCGTCACCATCATTATCATCATCATCACCTTCGTCGTCGTTCCGTCCGTCGCGAGCTTAGTCAGCTGAGGCGAGGGCAAGTCTGGCCCGGCATTACACACGTGGTGGCACTGCACATGCAATCGCGCGACGCCGTGGTCCGCCTCCCGCCCCTTCCGCTTTGCACTTTGCCACTCGCCCCGCGTTTCTAACGCCGTTGCTTGCGCCCGCCTCGAGCTGTCCAACGGCCGCCTGTGCCCTTATTGCACTCACTACCAACCTCCTGTTGTCGTTGTCGTCGTTGTCGTCGTAAAACGTTGCGCTCTCGCCGCTAATTCCTCCCACTGCAGCAGCTAAAACACCGCCCGCCGCCGACCATCACTCTTCCCCCACCCCCGCTGTCCCGCCGCCGACCATCACTCTGTCGATCGACCATCACTCTGTCGACCGACCATCACTCTGTCCGCGCCCGCCCTCGGTCTCTTCAGTCTCTCTCTCTCTCGCTCGCTCATTGTTGAAAAGCCAGTCTCTATCCCAGTGGACCCCTTGACCGACCGACCGACCGACCGACCGCTCGTTCGCTCTCTCATGTGCGTGCGCCCGCTGCGCACCGCGCGCACGGAGCGCGGCCGGCCGGCCAAAGCCGCCACGTCGCCCTGCGCGCTCCGCCCGCGCTCGAGCTCCAACGTGTCGACGGCCTCGAGCAGCTGGTCGGCCACGTCGGTCGCCGCGTCGGCGCCGCGCGACACCGTCTCGGGCCGCTGGCTCGACGACGCGGCCGCGCGCGTCTGCGGCAAGTGCGCGCGCGGCTTCTCGCTGGTCAACCGCCGCCACCACTGCCGCGTGTGCGGCGAGATCTTTTGCCACGCGTGTTCGCGCACGCGGCTCGTGCTCGCGACCAGCGCCGACGAGATCCCGCGCCGCCAGCGCGTGTGCGACGTGTGCGTCGGCCGCACGTCGATGCGGCCCCCACGGTGCGAGTCGGACGACGCGGCGTTTGGGCCCGCGACGTGGCCATCCGACGCGACGAGTGCGGACAGTGCGCTGCACAGTGCGCTGCAGTCGCAGCGGCGAGAGCCGCAGCTGCTTGGGACGGACGACACACTGCAGCGGGTCCGGACAGTGCCGACGACAGCGAGCAAGCGGACGTGCAGTACGAGCAGCAGCAGCAGTAGCAGTAGTTCGAGTGTCGCGGCGGGTGTGGCATCGGCCGTGGCGTTTGGTGCCGCGCTGTGGTCGCTGAAGGACGTTGTGGCGTGGACGAACGTGGCGCTGTGGATTCTGGTGGCTGCTGCGCTGAAGAACGTGCTGGACGTGGCGGTGCGGCTCCGTGGCGCGGCGCGGTTGGCCCGCAGCGCGGGAATGAGTGGCGACGTGGACGATGCCGAGCAGGTGTTTCGTGGCATGGACGTGGACGCAGTGGACGCGCGCGGCGGTGGGGAGCCAGTGGACCGCGGGGGGAGGAGAAGAGGGACAAGTATGCGGGCGTGGCGATTACGGCCGCACAGAGTGACGAGCTCCTTGCGAGTGCGCGGCGCGCGCTGGATACAGTCGTGGACTTGGCCACTATCGACGTGACGCGCGACGCGGCGTGGACAGAAGAGATCCCGACGGTCGACGATGTAACGATCTACTCGCGCGATGGCAAACCGTCGCGCATTTACAAGTGCGAGACGGAGCTCGCGCTCTCGCCGGACGAGCTGTTTGACGAGCTGTATACGAACTTGGAGACGAGCAATGTCTGGAATGTGACGGCAGCCGAGAGCAACATTGTGTGCCAACTGGACGAGACAACGGACCTCGTGCACTTGACGTCGGCGCCTGCGCTGGGCGGTATGATTACGAGTCGTGACTTTGTCAACACGCGCACGTGGCGGCGTCAAGAAGATGGCGGCTATGTGATTGCCAATAGCTATGCTGGAAAGAACATTTTGAAATCGCAGAAGGGCATTACGCGTGGCGAGAACGGACCGACGGGCTGGATCATTCTGCCGCACCCGACGTCTGCGTTTAAGAGCCGACTTATTTGGATCCTCAATATGGATATCAAGGGCTACTTTCCGTCCAGCGTCATCCGCAAGGGCTCTATTGGTGAGATGTCTTGCTTTGTGCGCAATTTGCGTCAGCATATCTTGCACAGAGCAGCTGCTACGGGCGAGCACGTTCGTGAACGTGTGTCGTCCACCGGGCAGTAACTTATATGGAGTTGTCCCAGCATCGTGCGAGACCTGTCTATGATTGAGGGATGTCCCATATGAGCGGACAGCCAGGCAAGCAACAAGCGGAGTTAGCGGATGGAACGCACTCGTTGCTTGCTCTGGTACTAAGCTCTGGTACGAGCTCGGTGGATTTGGGTCTCGTCTATTTGTGTTCGTTCGTGGAGCCGTTGCGCTCAGGGCAAGTGTGATGAAGTACTTGCGATCCCTACTACACTCAAGTGAGGCCACGCGAGGCGACAGAAAGCATGAAGCCCGCGAGCGTCTCCTCCCATCGCGTCTTCCGTGTGCTCAGCGGAATGCAGTCGGCAGACGCGATATACCTGACAAACTTACATTTTGCGTGACCTGGTTGCTCTCTAATTTTGTAGGCCAGGACGATACAGTAAAGAATACTATCCTTATTTTTCATGCTACCGAGTGGTGTATCCAGGCGCGGTAGCGATAGTGTCTTGTGCGGGGATAGAGTCGCCAAAACAACTGGCGTCGTCCGAGTTGCTCTACACGTCTGCATCCGTCTCGGTACTTTGTGCGCTCTTGTGTATACTGCTAGAACAAATTGAGGAACGAAGCAGGTACGTTCGATTGAGGCAAATGCCAATGACCGACGGTGTTTCCTGAGACCGTGTCGAGATCCAGAGCGGCTTCACGATACCAACGGCTTGTGTACCATGATCATGCAATGACCGGCATGCATCCCCGCGAGAGCTATTCGGTGATGACAGGTCAACTGGTCTTTGTTTTCTGGCGCTTTCTTCAGCTAGAGCGTCTCTGGCTTCGCTTCTGCGTCTGTAATTTGAAGCTTGCACGACAATCGATCTGTTCCTCATTGCAAGTGTGCACCTCTTCGATCGTAGCTTGCTAACGGGAATGATCACGCAGAAAGCTGAGGATGTAGGGACAGACGCTAACAATGTCGCAGACTAACAAGTCACCGGCTGCGATCGCCGATCGAGTAACTCACATGCTGAGATCAATGACAAGGTAGAACTGGATCGAGCTGTGACGTACAGCGTTTGCTACGGATAAAGTGCTGTCTATCACCAAGATGTCCTGAAAGACCTCGAGTTGGACTGAACATAGTCGACACTTTTTCGTAGATCTTGTGCTACGCCGAAGCAGTCAGAATGAAAAACCCGCAGCCACGATAAATAATGTTGGGAGTGGCAAGGAGACGCCGCCCTGAAAACCCTGCGACCGAGACAAGGGTGACGCATGTTGTGAACTGAGCTACGGATTGGTGGGGTCTGTCATGCTTTTGCTTCGCTATGAATAATGCTGAGATAGTGGAAGAAGACGAATTGTTGTACCCGATGTCTTATAGTACCGTCCAGGAAAAAGTAACATTTCTCAGGAAGACGTAAACCTGCTTGAGATAATAATCTTCACAAAATGGTCATGAGCGTCCCGTTCCGAAGCCGGGTTCATTTTGTACGGAGTTGACAAGTGCACACCGTTTTTCGATCCGCTCATACCTTTTCCGCTGGGGTATGAATACGTTTCCATATCCCTACTCACTCCTCACAGAAACGCCCTTTTACGCAGATGATTACTTCTCGGAGGTACTGCACTTTCACCCGCCAAGAAATGGCTATCGAAGATGATGATGCCTACTATATAACGGGGCAGCCCATTACATGGAAATTGTCATTTGAGAGATAATGACAATAAAGAATATTATGTTGAATATTCTTTTAACAATGTCACCAATAGTAGTGATATTGATGGGTCGACCAAAGAGTCTGTTCATTGGTTGATATCTTGACGATGTCAACCCACCAATCGCCGCAAGACGCGCGCAATGAGTGGTGACGAGACGTCACCATACACTCAGTTAGATTAGTATAATTAAGTTAAGTCAAACAGAGAGACAGTGGATTAAAGACTTAATTATATTAATATAACAGTTCTGCTTTTACCTTATCTACGCTTCCTCGCTTGCCTTGTGTACGTCTGTCGGGTGCGCCAAAACCCTTGCGTTAAGTTCACGCAAGGGTGTGCCCCGTTACACCTGGTAGCACTTTGTGGTCCTTCCAAGGACCACAACACCCAACATGAACATGTTGGATGAAGAAGAAACCTTTCACGCCACGCGTAAAGGGTTTACCCATTTGAGTGACATCGAATGGAGTGCGGTAGAACGAATGAGTTCTACCGTAGGCGAGTTCGCCATTAGCGCCATGTTGGAGTCTCTAGACAGAGACCAACAACATGCCGCGATAGCCAAGTTCATTCAAAATGAACTTGTCGCCGAAAGGGATATAGTAGCCTTGCTTCACCAGCAAGGCTCTCAACAGGCCGAGCAGTTGAGAGAAATCGGTGCTCAACAGACAGAGCTGTAGGGACAGCAGCAATTCCATGCTGCTGTGGGCGGGACGGCACATGCGCGTCGTTCCGAAGTCATGAAAGTTGACATCTCCAAGTACAGTGGAGTCCCGGAAGACTCCCTGTTACTATGGTTTGTCGAACTCGACAGAGCCTTAAGGGCTCGCCGCGTCGAAGATGAGCAAATGAAACTCACATTTGCTCAAACCCACTTGGCAGGACGTGCCAAAACTTGGTCCCTGGGGCTCGAGAGTAGCGACCCACATGTGTTTAGGTCGCTAGATGACTTCAAGTCCCGGCTCAGACAAACGTTTGAGTCGCCACGGGCTGAGTTCAGGGCTCGTTCAGAGCTCCTGAAACTCAAGCAGGGTAAGCGTGATGTGCACGCTTACGCTCAACATATACGACTCCTCGCGAGTAGTATAACTGCTAACCCAGTTCATGAACACACGTTGATTACGGTGTTCGTGCAAGGGCTCGCAGAAGGGCCCGTCAGGAGCCACCTGTTCCGCCTTGAGCTGAATACGCTGGAAGAAGCGATATCAGCCGCGGAACAGGAAGACTTTAGCATGAGACAGGCTCATGCTAGCTCAAACTCTTATCGTCCACCGAGACGACAAGAGATCGGAGGTCCAGAACCAATGGACCTCTGCTATGTTGAGAGCGAGAGACCTCGCTCTTCGAACAACAAGCGATTGCAGAGGTGCAATCGCTGTAAGAAGTTAGGGCACCACGCATACGAGTGTAGTGCTCCACGCCCAGTACCAAACATTACTGAGCGAAATGGACGACCATTCGCCAGAAAGGGCAATGGGCGTGGGTCCAGCGCTGTTGCGAAGCCGCAACAGCGAGACGGACCATCAAAAAATGGTCGGGGTCAGTAGGGGCGGAGCGCCCTACTGATCCAGAAACCTCAAGAGAATTTGCAAATCTCTTGACGAAAGTTGCTCCAGATACACAATCATTGTGTGCCTCTGCACCTAGTGATGACGTTTCGCTGATCACCTTGAAGTTGGAAGCGACAAATGATTTGTCGCTTCGTGCTCTAGAAGACTGTGGGGCGTCGAACAACTTTGTTCGTCGCCAGTCACTAGAGGGTCGTAGGCTCAAGTTCGTTGAGCGCGACATTCCCCTCACGAGAATGACGGTGCGCCTTGCAACAGGCGCATCGATTACCGTTGAGAAACGTGTAGTAGGAATCCACTACACGTTAGAGGGCGAACAGTACGATGATGACTTCATCGTACTGGATCTGGATGACAAATTTGATGTCATCCTGGGATTACCTTGGCTCAGAAGGTACGAGCCAAGAGTGAGCTGGCAGCATCGATCCGTGAAGATGCCTGCCGCTTGTTCATCAGATGGCCATTTGATGAACGTCATGGAGCGATCACAAGCGTGTGGATGTACTGCGAGTGAGTGCGATGACCTCACTTGCGGTACGGTAGTTAGCACGACTGCACAAGATCACAGTGTAGTTGATCACTACACTGTGGAGAAAGCTTCCGGCGGCTGTACAGAAGTACAGGCTGCGCCGAAGGTCCACCACTCGAATAAGTCGAGTGGACCGGGACATGGATGCATGTCTAGCGGGCAGCATCCTAGACAAAAGAAACCTGTTGCCTCCAAGGGGCAACATGGAAATACTAGGTCGACTGGAGAGTCGACCGTAGATGATCGGTGCCTGACTGTGGTTGCACAGCCACAGTCAGAAGACGTAGAGGGAATAAGTCCCCACGTACTTGAGGAAGGAATTCCTCAAGAGTCACTTGCTGAAGGATTAGGCCTTCAGCAACCTGTGGAAGCAAGTTCCCAGGAAAAAACCTAGACGTTGAACGTCTTGGTCAATGTCGGATCAAGCTTAGGCGCTTATACGCTTGATCTGATTGTGCCTCCGAAGCTAACTTCGGAGATATCTCAGTTGCCAACGCTAGAAACGAAACGGTTCTTGCGTGATCTGCGTAGTGGCAAAGTCAAGCAGATCTGCATACTCGTCACAGAGGATGAGTATGTGGCCGATATTCGGTCGGCAACAGTATTTGCTGAGAACGAACGGGTTCTCAGCAGCTCATCGATGGACGAAAGTGTCCTCGATGAGAAGACTCGGATTGAGCGATACGCGTCTCAATCCTGGGAGTCACTTCAGGCAAATCCTTTGTACAAGGATTTGATCGAATTCAGGGATGTGTTCCCTGAATCCGTACCGTGCGAGTTGCCTAAGGACAAAGGCGCTAGGCACGAGATCGAGCTCAAACCGGGCTCGAAATACTGTGTCATAAAGCAGTGGCCACTGCCTCGTGAACAAGTACTAGCGATCGACAAGTTCTTTGCCGATCGCTTAGCAGCGGGCCATGTGAGGGAATCAACATCCCCTCACAGCTCTCCGACCTTCTGTGTGCGAAAGGCCACAGGAGGGTGGCGGATAGTGCAGGCATTTAACAAATTGAATGCTGCAACGGTACCGGCTCAGACGCCGATACCGAGGAAGGACGTAATCATAGATGGTATGTCATTGAGTACCATCTTTTCGTCCATGGATCTGATGGATGGATTCTATCAGATCCTCATGCGTGAACGGGACATCCCGTTCACGGCAGTGAGCACCCCCAGCGGGATGCTATGGGAGTGGCTAGTTATGCCACAGGGGCTGAGCA